AGCTGCAGAGCCCCCCACATCCCCACATACCCCTCATACCCCTCAGCAGGTTGACATTAGATGACCAGCACACTGCAACGACAGACTGTATGATCCCGAGACGATGGCGGTGTCTAGATAGCAGGTTGTTCCGCCTCACTACGGTGTCTCCAGGATCAACATGCCCTCAATTCTCAATCGTGAGTCTCCCCCGCGAGAAACGGTCTTGTATGCCTCACAGGGCCCATTTTTCATTCGACATTCGTTCTCAAAACTTACGTACTTAGGGACTAATACGTGTTCTGTCCCGGGAAATAAACCCTACGCTGCAGGCGAAGGCTACTCGGAGCAATTGGCTTCACAGCTGTTATATCCTGCGACGATGTCGCCCATCAACAGTCCAGAAATCCATACGACTGTGACTGTTCCACGTATCTCTAATCCTGTCACAGTGCATCTTACCTCACCCTATGATGCACACCAATGACTACACGAGGATCAACGTCCTGCATCCCAGCATCTGCCAGGCAACCATCACTACCAAATGACTGCCCACATCCAAATGTCTCTCATGTTTCTTAAGCCGCCAGTACCTTTCTCATACATCGGCCGCGGGCCCTGCGCGCCAAGCGCGACCGATGTATCTGGCCGCTGCTGTAGGCCGTTTGCCGCCTCTGCGTTAACCGCCGCGCCTTCAATTTCAAGTGCAGAAAGGTAGTGGTGCTTCAAGCTTCTCAGCAACAAGTCAGGTACTTGGAACCTTACATCAGTGTCAGGCTGATCTGATTACATATGTAACACTCTACGCGACGTCACCACTTGGGGACCCCACCCCAATCTGACTCCAACTTCCGCGCATAATCCTTAATAACTCCACAATGCATATTTCGTTTGCATCACAGGCCTCTGTCAGAGAAGCAACCGAACAGGGAGCACCAGCGGCAAGCTTGGTGTCCCGGTGCACACAACTCGGAATCAGTTCGTTTTGTGGAGCGAACCTCCCCACTTGGAAAACCCCTATACTTCTGTCTCCAATGCCCCGTAGCTTCATTTTTTCCTGCAACCCTCTCTTTCATCAGAAAACAATATAAAAAATCCAAATTTCTACGTAGGCCGGTGAACATTGATGTTGTGCCATGCTTGGGAAACCCGCTACAAAAATCCACAAGCTATACGCCCATTCGATTGCCTGGCATTCTCCGATCAGCATCAGTTAACACATACATACAAAATTTGAATCCCAAATTGCCACAGCAATCTTACAGTTAAGGTTACCTTCAAGTGGCTCAAAGCACTCCTTGGAAATCACCCAAGCAGCGCGGATGATAATGTTCATCAGCCAAAACTGTATGCGTGTGGCAAGATTAAGAGATTGACAGGCGTCAGTTCAGTTAGTTATATACCCTCCTCTCCTTCCACCTGCCCTCCTCTCCCCATGCACAACAACCACTCTCACTGCCCTTCCCAACCCCCAACCATCCCCCCCTCTGCTCCCCTGCGGATTGGCGAAAGAGTGACGGTCATCAAGTTAACCGTATCTTTCCCCCCTTCTACCCTTTTACCCTCCCCTCCTTTCCCCCCTCCTTCTCTGATCCCACCCCTTTTGGGCCCCTTGCCCTTACTGGGATCAAATTAAACCCCATCTT